CTGGGCTCCAGCGATCCTTCCGCCTCAGCCTTCCAAGTAGCTGGAACTACAGGCAGGCACGTACCACCATGCCCAGCTAAGGGGACTCACTATGTTGCCCAAGCTGGTCTTGAACTCCTGGCCCCAAGCAATCCTCCTGCCTCAAAGCGCTGGGATCACAGGATGAGCCACCATGCCCAGGCCCAGATATCATCTCCCAAAGCAAGCGTAGACACCCAGAAGGGATATCAGAAGGCCCTGCCCAGTAAAGAACAGGAACCAAGGGCCAGGCTGGGCACTGGACAATCATCCATAAGCCTCTCTCACTGCTTTGACCCTCCTTCAAGGCCCAGGACTCGCGATCCACCCACCTCCAAGCTCTGCCTTGGCTCCCAGGCTTCCCCCAGGCAGATGGAAGGAGACATGGCTCCCGAGGAGAAGTTGGGGGTGGGGTGGGGTGAGGCCTACCCAGGCCCAGGCCAGACCGTACCAGCTCGCGCTCAGTGAGGGCGTTGGGGCTCTCCAGGTATTTCTCCAGGGCCAGGCAGGCCGAGATGAGGTCAGGGCTCAACTCCATCCTGTCGGGGCAGACGGAACAGGGACCAACCTCAGGGCCTGTCCCCCAGCCTCCCAGGAAGCCCCCGGCCACCAAGTCCTGCTGGACTTGGTGGCTGGCGGCAAGGACGCTGCACAGCGTTGCTCACACGGGGCCACCGGACGGTGGTGTCTCTGTCCTGCTGTAGTGGGATGTGTCTTTTACGCTGTACCACAAAAGGGGCAGGTGTGGTAGTACACCTTCCCCAAGAGAAAGGGTGCCAGGCCAGAGCCTATTCCAAACGGCCACAGGCATATGAAAATGGTGTCCTAAGGACACATTTCTCCTTTCTGTTTTTAAATTTTTGAGTCGGTGTCTCGCTCTATCACCCAGGTTGGAGTGCAGGGGCATGATCATGGCTCACCACAGCCTCCACCTTCTGGGCTCAGGCGATCCTTCCACCTCAGCCTCTCGAGTAGCTGGGATTACAGACACATGCTACCATACCTGGGTAATTTTTTAATTTTTTGTAGAGATGTGGTCTCGCTATGCTGCCCAGGCTGGTCTTGACCTCCTAGGCTGGAACAATCCTCCGGCCTTGGTCTCCCAAAGTGCTGGGATTTCAAGTGTGAACCACCATGCCTGGCCACACATTTTTTTTATTAAGGAAAAAAAAAAGAATGGGTAGGTAGCACTAACGTCCTAAGCAAAGTGGGTGGCTTAAGGATAAAAACTCTGTCTGGCTCCCTAAATCCTAACCCCAGCCACCCCAAACACTCCCATTAGTCCTTTTTTTCAAAGTTTCCAGATGCCCAGAAGGAGAAAGCGCTCATTTGCTAATTCAGACTAAAGTACATATGACTGAGGGGAGGCTCCATGGCAGGGCTGGAACGGTTGGATCCGAGGCAGAAGCCACCCACCCCTGCCCCGCCTGACTCCCTCCCACCCGGAACACTGACCGGATCTCCTCCTCCACACTGGATCCCTCTGCCCCCTCCGATGTGGGCACGTGCTGAGACTCCCGAGAGAGCTGGCATTCCTGTCCACCAGTCTTGGCTGCTGCTATCCCCGCAGGCCTGAGCTGCGGGGCGTCAGCTACACTCAGAACTCGCTCCTCCTCTGCCTCTGGGGCCTCGTTCTCTGTGCTGTCGTTGTCTGAGATGTTCTCTGCTGTGCTGGAGTCCTCTGATGACGACTCGTACCTGGGAGGGAGGGCAGGTGGGCGGGGAGATGCTGCTGAGAGGGTGGAAAATGGTGGGGAGGGACGAGGGATCTGGCTACTTGACCTTCCTGGGCCTCAGTCCCCCCAGCCTTTGTCGGCCAGACACAGCGACTCATGCCTATAATCCCAGCACTTTGGGAAACCAAGCTGAGAGGATTGCCTGAGCCCACGGGTTTCAGACCCGCCCAGGCAACTTGGCGAGGCCTCGTCTCTACGATAAATCAAAAATTAGCCGGGCACGGTGGCATGCGCCTGTAATTCCAGCTACTTGGTAGGCTGAGGCAGAAGGATTACTTAAGGCCAGCAGGTCAAGGCTGCGGTGGCCGTGTGTGCCACTGCACTCCAACCTGGGCGACAGAGTGAGACGCCAACTACAAAAAAAAAAAAGTCTTTGTCCCCAGGATGGAATGCAGTGGCACAATCCTAGCTCAAGGCAACCTCGACAGCCTAGGCTCAAGTGATCCTGATCAAAACATCAGCCGGCATGGTGGCGCGTGCCTGTAGTCCCAGATACTTGGGAGGCTGAGGCAGGATTGCCTGAGCCCAGCAGTTTGAGGCTGCAGAAAGCCTGATCATGCCTCTGCACTCCAGCCTGGGTGACAGAGTAGGGTCCTGACTCAAGAAATAAAAATAGGGTGCTGAGGACCCTCCCGTGTGCCTGGGAGCTGGGGACAGGGCCGGGGACTCCTCTCACCCGCCATTGACCCCCATGAACTGGAGGCTCCTCCGGTGGGCCGTGGGGTCCGCGGGCTCCTCCTTCCGCTTCATGATGGACCGCAAGCCTGGCAGGGGCCCGCCTGCAGGGGAGGGACGGGGGTGAGAGCCCCTGGCAGCCAGACCCTGGGCCCAGGCCATGGAGTGCCCCACCCTCCCGGGGGCTGCCACTTACCTGCACCCCCAGCCTCCTCAGACTCTTGGGAGGCCGCTGGCCTGGTGGGCTCTGTAGGGGTGGTGTCAGGGGCGGGGGCCTGGCCTGCGAGCTCCTCGGGCTGTGCCAGGGAGGCCACTGTGGGCCCCAGGCCCGCTGAGGATGATTCTGGAGAGGCCTGGGGGGGACCTGGAGGGACAGGAAGCAGAACAGCTGCTGTGGGCTGGACAGCCAATGACAACGGGCCCAGCAGCTGCCGCCCTGTGCGTCATACACCTGGGCCAGGTGTGGGCTCAGGGCCACATTTTTCATTACCATATCCCATCTTCCCATCCCTGGAGGTGGGACGGGTTACTACCAATGAGGAAACTGAGGCACAAAAGTTGCCAAGGTCACCTGGGAAGCGAGTGGCAGAGTCCAATTCCAACCCTTTGGGTGCCTGCCCTGCAGCTGGTCAGGGACAGGACAGGTCCTGTGGCCCCACATTCCTGACCTGAGATACCATCCTCTGCCTGACATCATTCCAAGTGTTCTCTAGAAACGGAGTTTTTGGAGGTGGGGTCTGGCTATGTTGCCCCAGCTGGTCTTGAACTCCTGGCTTCAAGTGAGCCTCCTGCCACAGCCTCCCGAGTAGCTGGTACTACAGGCGCACACCACCATGTCTACCTAATTTTTAAAAATTTTTTTGTAGAGATGAGGTATCACTATGTTGCCCAGGCTGGTCTTGAACTTCTGAGCTTAAGTGATCCTGCCATCTCAGCTTTGCAAAGTGCTGGGATTACAGGCGTGAGCCGCCACGCCCAGCGTAAACATTTCTTTGCCACACACAATAACTATTTCCTCAAGTCCATGGCCAAAATTCAACTTCAATACAGAGCAGGGAGTAAGTGCTTGACACAAGCCAAGAGTGTAGACAGGGCAGGGCTGGGTGAGACACTCAGTCAACAGTGTGGCCAACAGCATCCCCCATCAGGGGTGTGGCTGGTCCAGGCAGATTCCAGAGCCAGGGCTTGAACTCATGTGGGGGACAGAGAGAAAATGCTGGAAATTATGCTTATCTCTTGATTTTTCTTTCTAAATGTGGCAACAAATTTGCATTAAACAAACACATCGTGTGGGCATGTGGACCTGTCAGGAGGCAGATAGGCCATTCCCAATCTCAATCACTGCTCCAGACTCGGGAATACTGACCTCAAGTTCCGGGAGTCAACACTGAAGTGGAGACATTACGCTCAGTGAGAGTAGCCAGACTCCAAAGGACACTGATTCCACTCACAGGAGGTTCTTAGAGTCCTCAGACTCACAGAAGCAGAAAGTAAATTGGGGGCAGGCCCAGTGGCTCACACCTGTAATCCCAGCATTTTGGGAGGCTGAGGTGGGAGGATCACTTGAGACCAGGAATTTCAGTCCAGCCTGGGCAGCATAGCAAGACCTTGTCTCTTTTAAACTTTAAAAAAAATTATTTGAGCCGGACTCGGTGGCTCAGCCTGTAATTCCACGCCTTGGGAGGCCAAGGTGAGTGGATTGCCTGAGCCCGCGGGTTCAAAACCCGCCTGGGCAACTTGGCAAGACCTCATCTCTACAATAAATAAAAAATTAGCTGGGCGTGGTAGCGTGCGCCTGTAATTCTGGCTACTCGGAAGGCTGAGGTGGAAGGATCGCCGGAGCCTGGCAGGTCGAGGCTGCGGTGGCCGGGAACGGCCACTGCACTCCAGTCTGGGCAACAGAGTGAGACTCCAACTCAAAAAAAAAAAAAAAAATCATTTGATTAAACTAAAGAAAAAAAGCTGGGCCCGGTGGTTCACACCTGTGATCCTAGCACTGTGGGAGGCCAAGGTGAGAGGACTGCCTGAGCTCAGGGGTTGGAGACCAGTCTGGATTACATGTGAGACCTCATCTCTAAAACAACAAGAACAACAACAAAAAAAACCAGCTGGGTATGGTGGTACACACCTGTGGTTCCAGCTACCTGGAAGGCTGAGGCGGAAGGATCACCTGAGTCCAGCAGGTCAAGACTGTGGTGGCTATAAGCGTGCCACTGCACTCCAGCCTGGGCAACAAGAGTGAGACTCTGACTCAAGGAGTAAGTGTTCCATGGGGACGGAGGTTCCATTTGGGAAGATAGAATGTCCTGGACATGACGGTGGCGATAGCTGCACAACTTTGCAAGTCTTAATGCCACTGAACAATTGTTTAACAACGGGTAAGATGGGAAATTTTAAGTTATATGTATTTTTTTTTCTTGGAGGTGGGGTCTTGCTATGTTGCCCAAGCTGGACTGCAGTGGTGCGATCATAGCTCACTGCAGTCTCAAACTCCTTGTGCTCAAGTGACCCTCCCACCTCAGCCTCCCAAGCAGCTGGGACTACAGGTGCATGCCACCATGCCCAGCTTTAAAAAAATTTTTTTTTAAGTGAAAAGATAAAATAAACTGGAACAATGGGAATGGGGCCAACTGGTACCAAAATTTATATGAAAGAGCTGAAGTTCATGATGAGTTAAGACAATTCTACAAAACAACAGAAGAGACAGGAAATCTGGTCTGTGAGAAAGTTGTCCGGTTTCCAGTGCCACAACCATCAGAACAGTAGGGCGTTGTCATATGACCGAATAGACCAAATGAACAGAAAAGAGAGCCCAGCACAGGCTCCAATCTCTGGGAACTGGGGGTCAAATAGAGGACTTTCCATAATCATTGGGAAAGGCTGAATTGTGTGGTCTGGTGCAGGGAAAAGCAGCTTGCTTTACACAAGAACACTCAGGCCAGATGCCTATGTCACATTGGATCCCAAACTCACGCCGAATCCCTACCTCACCCTGGATCCCGACCTCACACCAAATCCCTACCTCACACCAGATCCCGATCTCATACCAGATCCCAATCTCACACCAAATCCCTACCTCACCCTGGATCCCAACCTCACATCAAATCCCTACCTCACACCAGATCCCAATCTGACTCCAAATTCCTGCCTCACACTGGATCCTGCTCTTATACCAAATCCCAACCTCACACCATACACAAGAAAGAAACTCTGAAGGTTGACGATGAAAGCGCAACTACAAAGGTAAAGGGAGACAATGTAGTAGAATATTGTGAGTCTCAGAAAAGGGAAACACACCTTTAAAAATTCCTCAAAGCACAAAACACGTATGAAAATATGATGGGTTCAAGTATTTCCAAAGTTATTCAATAAAAGAAGAAAGGAGGTATGTGCGTGTGTGTGGGAGATTCACATTGCCAAAAATGGGCAAAGGGTTATCTTCTAGAATAAGGATCAACACACTTTTTCTGTAGAGGGCAAGACAGAAAACAGTTTTGGACATGTCTGCTGTGAGAACTCGGTCGCAACTGCCCACCTGTGCCATGACTGTGACAGACAGTATGGAAATGAATAGGTGTGGCTGTATTCCAGTAAAGTGGAATCTCATAGAACTTTGCTCATGTTACAAGACATTATTTTTATTTTATTTATCATTTTGAGTAGGAGTCTCACTCTGTCACCCAGGCTGGAGGGCAATGGCATGCTCCCAGCCACCGCAGCCTCGACTTGCTGGGCTCAGGTGATCCTTCTGCCTCAACCTTCCAAGTAGCTATAACTACAGACATGGGCTGCCATGCACAACTTATTTTTTGATTTATTGCAGAGACGAGGGCTCGCCAAGTTACCCAGGCTGGTCTCAAACCCCTGAACTCAGGCAATCCTCTCACCTCTGCCTCTCAAAGTGCTGGGATTACAGGTGTGAGCCACTACGCCTGGCGATTTTTTTTTCTTTAAACAGACAGGGTCTTGCCATGCCACCCAGGCTGGAATACAGGCATGATCATAGCTCACCATAGCCTCAACCTCCTGGTCTCACACAGTCCTCCTGCCTCAGCCTCCCAAGTAGTTTGGACTACAGGCACACACAACCACTGTTTGGCTAATTTTTTATTTTCTGTAGAGAAGAGGTCTTGCTTGGACTCAGGCAATCCTGCCTCAGCCTCCTGAGTTGCTGGGACTAAAGATGCATACCATCATGGCTGGCTAATTTTTAAATTTTTTTTAGAGATGAGACCTCACAGTGTTACCCATGCTGGTCTTGAACTTCTGATCCTCCAAGCTTGGCCTCCCAACATACTGGGATTGCAGGCATGAGCCACTACACATGGTCCTTTTTCTAGATTTTTAACCAGATTCAATGTCTGAGCAGGTTTCAGAAGTTCCTGGTGTGTTACAGAATCAAGATTGGCAAGCTGTAGTCTGCAGGCCGAATCCAGCCCACACCTGTTTTTGTACAGCCCACAGCTAAGGATGCTTTTTACATTCTTGAATAGTTGAACAACTGAAAAAGAATAAGCCAGGTGCAATGGCTCACGCTTGCAATCCCAGCACTTTGGGAGGTAGAGGATGGCCTGGGCCCATAGGTTCAAGACCGGCCTGGGCAACATGGCGAGACTTTGTCGCTACAATTAAAAAAAAAATAGCCGGGCATGGTGGCATATTCCTGTAGTTCCAGCTACTTGGAAGGCTGAAGCAGAAGGATCACCTGAGCACGGCAGGTACACGCTGCAGTGGCCATGAGCATGTCACTGCCCTCCAGCCTGGGGGACAGAGTGAGACTCCAACTCAAAAAAAAACAACAAAAATAAAACAACAACAATAACAACAAAAAGACTCCAGAAAAACAAAAAACTGCTTAGAGAAAAATGAAGAAAGGCTACAAATAAGTGATTCAGAGGAAACTAACTAAGCCTCTATGGTACACATACATGGAGATGTCTGATCTCACTGAAAAACAGAGAAACCAAAATTACAACAATAAGGACACAGCACCCTGTAGCAGTGTCAGACGGGGGAAAAAAACAGAAAGAGGGATAAAACTGTATGTTGGTGTAGATGCAGGGAAACAGGCACCTTGAGCTCAAGCATGGCGGTAGGAGCGTGGACTGGGAGTGCTTCTGTGGGGGGGAGTGGACATGCGTTGGAGTGAGGCTGTGCATCCTCAATGACCCAGCAAACCCCTGAGAGGGGTGGGGATGACCTCAGCACTTGCATACGGCCAAATGTTGGAAGCGACTGGGTGCCCACCATGAGAGGATTTTTTGCTGAGTTGGAGTCTCACTCTGTCGTCCAGGCTGGAGTGCAGTGGCACGCTCATGGACACCACAAACTTGACCTTCCGCCTCAGCCTTTCAAGCAGCTGGA